ATTGTATTCAGGGGCCACCCATTCGAAGAACACTCTAAATTTCACTATGTTTTGCTCTCTTAGCATCTTTCTTGTTGTTCTTGTCATCTTCTTTACCTTTCTTGTACGAGACCCAATCAATTAGTTTTAGCTTGTCCAAATCTGGCTAAAACAATGTTGGTGTATGTTTAGTTTTGGAAATGTTGTGTGTTTTGGGAATGGGTAATTCTAACCACAACCACATGTTTACTAAATACACCCACAATTATTATTATTTCATTCCAATTACTTCGTATATCCTTTTAATGAATAAATTAGCACTTTCCTTTTCAGCTCCTTCACATAGCCGGACTGCCACGCCCACCCTCTAACCCACCCATGACCTTCCCTATTAATCCCTCACAAAGTGACCCTACACAACCCACTCCGTCAAACTTCTCTGCCACTCCAGAGAACCAACGCCCCACTACTTCAAATATCCTGGAACACACATGAGTTATGAGTATGATAAAATTATCAAAATTGTCTGCAAATCAAAAGTTAACATTTCAAAAAAAATTCAGACTAATCATCAAACAAGCACATCCAGTATTTCTCTTCACTCTCTTCGACCTTTTTCTCTTAAGCAACTGGAGCAGCAGTGGCACCACCAGCGGACAGGGTGTCAACGACAATCTTACCACCACTAGCACAACCACCTACGTTATGATGAGGTCATCAATGTTCTTCTCACAGAGCTTGGCATGGTGATCTTCTGTGCTGTGACGGGATGCCTTCTTCGTGAAGGACAGAGTTGCATAAGTGCGAGTGAATTGAATAAGGTTACGTCAAGAGATCAAAGGCTAACTTAGGCATTAGAGTTATTTATGGGAATAACAATTTGGAGGTTGTCAATAGAATTACCCTTTGCGAATGGGATGCGGTCAATTTCGGGCTTTTCATGTTTCTTTTGGGCCTAAAATCTTTGGTATAGATTTTTATGGGTTTATTGCATCAAACCTCCTCAAGATATTTAAAGTCTTCGATTTCGAAATCATTTTTTCTTAGGAAAAATTGATAGTAATAATCCCAACTATTGGCGGTCCGCTCATAATAATCCCAACCATCGATTATCTGAGAATAATCCCAACTTTAGAGACCTTCCGCCAATAATGGTCCGGCGTGATCGACTATAAAGAAATTTCTATAGTTTCTAAAGTGGATGAGAAGAGATATAACAAGTAATCCCTATAAATAATCCCAAATTTTAATTTTCACTCTTAATTTTTACTCTTAATATCTGGTCATGGACCATTACTGGCGGAGGGTCCATATAGTTAGGATTATACCAAGATAATCTATAGTTGAGATTATTGTTAACGGACTGGGTGAGATTATTATTTTCAATTTTTCCTTTTTCTTAATAATATGATTGAATATGCAAAGAACTTTGTCATGATTTCTAAATTATACAAAAATACTAATTATTTTTTAAAATTAAATTTGTTCATTGAAGGGGTTTACGGCTTTACGCATGAATAACTATAACATAAGGGGATTTGACGCATTCTTTAAATCACAAAAGGTTAATACGGCAAATATATATTTCACGAAGGGATCTGATCTTATAACACAAGGGGATTTTATACACTCGCTTAGCTAAAATTCATAACACGATCTTAATCCCTTTTTTGGTAAATTTTGGTTAAGCAAATATTATTGGATACACACATAAGAAATACGTATATCTGATCGGGCTTAGAACTCAAAAAATGTGCACTCAAAACATGTATCGATAATTCTATTTACAGACCCAATTTGCTATTCACCGTCACCGATTAATTATTAATTAAAATACATCATTAAAAATAATTTAAACCTTCATATTAATACACACAAATAGTCAAATATCATCATAAATGTATAATGATTCAACACGCTTTATTTATTATCATTACATTTTATATAAAAATTATTCATTTAAGTTTTCAACCATATTTTTTGGTTCTAAGTCTCCAACTATATACTATATATTAATATTAAACTATATTATTCTCTTATCCATTAAAATAATTAAAGTATAATGTATGGAGTTTTTTTACTAATTTTAACAGAAAGTAATTATTTTATACGGAGTATAATTTATACGTGTGTATTATCACTCTATTAATATATTAATTAATCACTCGTTAAATCAACTAATATAATATTGAAATATATACAAAATTAATTGTTAAGGAAGATCACACATGCGAGTATATTAAATACATTAAATATGTAATATGCGTTGAATGTTTTGAAACAATGTACTTTATTAATTACTTAATGCATGTTCACATTAGATATTGTAAATAAAATGATTTGCAATATCTAATTCGGTGAATGTAAATAAAATTACCAATAATAAACAAATTGTGAAGAATCATTATAAATTTAAGATGCTATTTTAGTGTATTAATATGAAGGGTCAAAGTATTTTTAGTGATGTATTTTTATTAATTAGTAATTAATTGGTGACGGTGAATCGCAAAATGGGAGCCGTGAATAGAATTACCAACATATACGAGTACTCCGTACTATATATATTAAAAATATTGGGATCAAAATATTGAACCTTTTTTACAACACTGAAATTGGCCTATTCTACCAAAATTGATGATGTTCTGATAGCGGCTGAATTGGATGAATCTGATGAATTATAAAAAATTATATTTGAAGTATATTTCATTAATAAATAAAGAAAAAAACATGAAAATGTCTAAAATGATAATCTATAGTAACTTCGACCAATTTTGCCAAAAAAAGAAATCACAATTTTACTTAAGACATTTTCACTTGAACTATTTTTAGTCCAGATCAGACCAGTTCCAACCAAACAAGACCAGACTAGACATATATTGACTAGACCATACTTCTAAAGTTGTAAAGTACACGTAGACCAGTCATTTACCAGACTAGACCGAACCATACTAGACTGAACCATACTAAACCAAATCAAAAAAATTGAGTCCAATTATAAATATTCTTATTTTTATTACTATGTATTACACAAATTAGTGCACGAAATTATAAGTTGCGTATTTAAGATATTGTGATTGGACTCATTTCAGTAACAGATCATACCATATTAGATCATACTAGATTAGTTCAGACTAGATCATACTCTAACAGTTATAAAATATAAGAGACTGACATTTAACAACTCAACAACTTCAAATAAAATCAATCAATCGAATTAAATTAGATCAGATCATAAATTCAAGTCGATTAAAAAAGGATTGGCGAAATGGGCTCATAAATTTTTGTGGTATAGAGCGTAAGCCCCTTTTGCACTGCCACCCTGACAAAACCTATAAATACCAGAACTCATATGCCGCAGCCATCTCTTCTCTGTTTAGGGAGTTTTGTACAAGAAGCTTCAACGGTTTTGAATGGGTCATTGCTTTCCTCTCCAGCATTAAGATTTCGGATATTTTATTCTGGTGAACTATCCATATCTCTATCACGAAAATTATCGTTCACTTATTTGGTTACCAATTTACAAGTACCTCCCTTCCGAAAAGATTATCATATTAACTTTTCTTATTTAATTTTGGACAATTATTTGAATCATTATATTTCAGTTCTAAACTTTGGACAATTATTTGAATTATTATTTTTGTATATAATTTATAAATTTATACTTTTATGAAAGATATTTTGAATAAGGAACATTTTGATATAATTTTAACATTCAAAATAATTTCATGTACAAAAATTTGATTAATCAAAGTTGTTAAAAAAACTTACTGTATGTTTCTTTTTCAATTTGACGAACCTTTTCAGGACAGTGAATATATGTTTTTTGTAAAAAAACTTTCTATATGTTTCTTTTTCAAATTTTAATATTTTGTAGCCTTTTCGCAGTGTGAGGGTGGTTTTATATTTTATCCAAGCACATCTTGAGAGTTGCGTTTTGCATATGCAGTCTTTTAGGTGTTAGAGAATGTATAACCAATCTCGAAAATTTTTTGGGCCCGTTTCTGATGAGGCACGAGTTTCCGTATTGTTTTGAGCCATGCGTCCTAATTATTTTGAGGTTAAGTTTTACTCACTATAAATAACAATATTCTGGCTTGGTAGTGCCCCAGATTTCATGTGTTCTTTTTTATTGTTCTTCATATTGTGTGAGTTAAATCGTAACACTTTATTTGTGGAATTGAATTACTTGTGAAAATCAGGCTAGTTTTTCAAGATCATATTCTTTTACTGTGTGTTTTTTGCAAATGTGATCTGAATTCGTCTACGAAGTCCAATATTTTGCTGAAAGAACTGTTTTCATTGCTTACTTTGTTTTTTCAATATAATGAAGACAAATATATTTTAAACAACAAAAAATACAATGCTCAAATAAGAGTAAAAATGTAAAATTTCAAAACATAAGTATTGTATTTTTTTTCATTATCATACGGAGTAATAGATTTAGGGTAATCTAGTATTAGACTTTTGAGACTTTTTGGGCTATAAAGTATAAACACACGTACTTTTGTTCAATAATAAAGTCGTCAATTTTTGGAGTTATATTATTATTAGCTAAGGCACTATATTACTTAGGACGGAAAGTGTAGTTAATTTGTTCAATTACATAGCTCCAATCATTCAGTCTTCTTCTTTTTAACCATTTATTTAATATTAGAATTAGAATGTTTTTATCCATTCAATTTTTTTTGATCTACTCTAGTTTGTGGAAATCTGGTCCAATATATTTCTGATTTATGTATGGTCTAATATATTTTTGATCTATGCCTGATCTAATACATGTTTAGTTCATGTATATTTTATAATTTTTATTGAAATCTGATCTAATATATTTATGATTTATGTCTAGTCTAATATATTTCATGTCTGGAATCATGTTTAGTTCGTGTATATTTTATAATTATCGATATGAGTTTTTAAGTCTAATTGGTCTCATATTTTTAAGTTGATTTTTTTTAAATATCACGTATGTGACTGAAATAAGTCTGGCCTAAACATGCTAGCAGTTACTTCATCTTCTTCCCGACCCCCCCGTTTCTATCTTTTTTTCTCAAATAAAACAACAGAATGTAACAGAAACTGAGGAAATCAGGTCCACCAGAGAGGAAAATAAATGAATAGAAAACATATGTTTATACCAGTCGCAATAATCTCTGTGGTCGAACCCTAATCCAATCATAATATGTATATATTAAGGTGGCTAATACATTACTAATTACTAATAGAAAACTACTATAACAATCTCAACTTACGTTTTTGGTAAGATTTTATGAAGCCTGTAACAGTGATCCATGAATGGTTTCTGAAATCTGTTCCAGTCGTAGTGACATTAAAAATCCATGGAGAACACCATTCCCTGTAGCATCGTTGGATTGCTTCCAATCTATCCACAGTGGATTCCGTGATCTATGGATATCCAACGGTGCCACATGCAAATTGCTTTTACATTTGGGAGAATCAGCTATCTTTACTCTTAGCAGACAAATGTGTGCAGTGTATAAATCTATTGTTCTGTTTCTTCACTCACATTTGGTTCTTCTTCTTCTTCTTCTGTGTGAAAAGCTTTTTAGCATTGTTTCATCATTCAATGGAAAGCAAAACCAGACACAGTGAATCAGGTCATAACCGACTTGGTGGTCTCTTGAAAGATCAAGTGCGGTTGGTTAAGAGGAAGGATTGTGATCGATATGAGATTGTCAGTATTCCAGAGAATTTGTCATTCGAGAAAGGGTTCTTTATTGTGATTCGGGCATGCCAGGATTTGGCCCAAAAGAATGATGGAATTGTATTTGTGGGAGTAGCTGGCCCATCAGGTGCTGGAAAGACAGTCTTTACTGAGCAGATACAGACCTTCATTCCAAGTGTTGCTGTTATTTCAATGGATAATTACAACGATGCCACTCGAATCATTGATGGCAACTTTGATGGTAAAAACTCTTTCTTTTATACTGTACATATGTCTTTATCTTATGATTCTTACTGCAATTCCTTGAGATCTCTTGAGTCATATTTACTAGCGCCAAATCTTCTTAGGGATCGTTTGGGTGCAGTGGTTTGGAGTAGAAACTTTTGGATGATATTTCCGTATCTTGATAAATAAAATATTTCTAAATAGGGGGCAGCATTTCGGCTTCGGTTTTCGGTTCGTATGGAAGAATAATTACTAAATGAAAACCATTCTATGTTTTGATTTGGTTCAACTCGGTTGGTGTTTGTAATTTGTAAGAAAATATTAAAGTTTTAATGTTTTTTTTTAAATTTGGTTAGTTTTTTCCTGTTTCAGTTTAGTTTAATATGGTTCGGAAGAAATATTACCAAATTCAAACTGAATTACGTACGGAGTATATTTTAGTTTTCAGTTTGGTTAGTCATGTCATTGTCACCACTTGTTTTAATAGAAGATGGAGTTTGACTGATGTATAGTAGCTATGGCAGGTCAAAAGAGACATATAGAGTACACCTTTGAAGTTTTGTAGTTCTTGTTAGTACTATATGTGTCCATTTTGCCTTTCCTTTGCATGCTACATTGCTAGATAATGCATAAATAGGATAAGAACGCAATGTCTTCAATTATCCAATGTGTAACTTGTGGCAGACTATTATTTTGTATCTAATATTTTGGGCATACAGATCCTCGCTTAACGGACTATGATACACTGCTTAAAAACATCCAGGATTTGAAGGCAGGAAAGCCAGTTGAGATTCCAATATATGATTTCAAATCTAGCTCCCGCATAGGATACAGGTTTGCTTCATTGTACTTCATACCATAACTCTTCTTACGATGAATTAGGCTCAAGAACTACATCTTTGAAATGACATATGAACTTCTTTGAATATTACTTTATGGAATATACTTAAGTGTTTTATAAATCCACAAATATTGAATGTGCAATGGTATCATCTGACGAATTTATGATTTTGGTTGTTCTGCTGCAGGTCACTTGAAGTTCCTAGCTCCCGTATAGTGATTTTGGAGGGCATCTATGCTTTGAATGAGAAATTGCGCCCTTTTCTTGATCTTCGAGTATCAGTTACTGGTGGGGTCCATTTTGATCTAGTAAAACGAGTCTTACGAGACATACATCGTTCCCGTAAAGAGCCTGAAGCGATTATTCAACAAATATCTGAAACTGTATGTTTTACGGTCCTTCAACTGAAGTGCTATGCTCCGTTTGTCACCAGTTCAGGCATATTCTTCTTATTTGGCTGAAATTTACCAAATGCTCTTCCTTGCCTACATGGATAGAATTATCGGAATAAGTAGCTTTTGTCACACTTTTCAGCCAAATAACCCTTACCAAAAGGGACCATGAACTAGTCATTGAATATTTAAGTTCTAAACTTTGACTGCTAACTTTATTTTGGCTAAACACCAATTGCAGGTTTATCCAATGTACAAGGCTTATATTGAGCCTGACCTACAAAAAGCACATATAAAAATAACCAACAAGTTTAATCCATTTAAGGGATTTCAGAGTCCTACATTTATTCTCAAGGTAACTGAGTACTTTCAAAGCTATCATTGCATCATAATTATGAACTTAATTAATAACTGCCATTTAGAAGTTATTTGTTTAGAATTTATTGAATCTTACTTCTGTTTGTTTTTAGTCTTCGAGGAATGTGACAGTTGACCAGATTAAGTCAGTATTGTCTGTGGAACACACGGAGAGTGTGGAAGAGATATGTGATATATATCTTCTGCCACCTGGTGAAGACCCAGAGACATGCCAATCATATCTGAGAATGAGAAACAAAGAAGGGAAATATAATCTCATGTTTGAGGTTAGCTTAGTCGTTCAGTGTAGCTGCTGCTTTATTAGAGATTATTTAAGACTCAAATGAAATCTAAAAGACCCATGTTTGATGGCTACGAAGATCAATGTTATTAATATAATGTTCAAAAGACAAAAGTAAAGAAATAAAAGTTAAATAGTCTTCATCATTGTTCCTGTCTCACTTTCTCTGTTATTTTATGCGTGTGTATAGGCTGTTCTATTCAACCCTGCATTACTTTTGTCACTCCCTATATAATTATTTTCATTCTTTAGATTCAGTTTCCCAAATTAACTATATAAGTGGTTTAATACTCCAACAGAGTATATTTGGAAAAAGTATGTAGCTAGAGTACATAGATAAAAGATGTTTACTCATAGCATTATTGACAAGTTCAATTTTTTTATGCTTGTGTAGCAATGGGTCACAGATTCTTCATTTGTAATATCACCGAGGATAACTTTTGAAGTTAGTGTCCGGCTTCTAGGTGGGTTGATGGCTTTGGGGTATACAATTGCAGCAATTCTGAAAAGGAACATCCATTCATTTTGTGATGAGAAGGTTTGCGTTAAAATTGATTGGCTTGAACAGCTGAAGCGTCAATATGTTCAGGTACTGCTTGAGTAGTTAGGATTCCATTTGGTAAGACATCGAATAAGCTGAATTTGGAAAATTGATGACGTTGTGGTAGCCTACTAATTATCGTGAAAAAAAATAAAAAAAATACATTTTAAAAAATCAAAACAAAAGATTATCTAAAAATAAAGCTAAAAGTATCGATTCAATCCATATTAGCAAAAAAAAGTCATTCTTGCCCTATGTTTTTCATATCATTATCACCCATATGGTCACTAAGCCAAAACTAAATCCTACCAAATGGACTCTAAATCTCATGCCGAAGTATTTCTGTGGTTTCAATCTATGTCTTGTCAAATTTCACAAAATTTTATCTTCTGAACTCTAATATATTAGCATTTGAATAATACCTTATTAGAAGGTGTTAATCTGAATGCTGTCAGATTTCATACCAAGTCAATTTAATTTAGTAAAACTTTTTCTCTTTTGCCATTAGTTGGAGTATTTTGGTATAACAAATATTTCTTGATTATTCATGTGGAGGAATTGTGACAAAGATTGCCAACATATATATTATATGATATGTTTGTATGTAGCCCTTTGTCCAACTGTACATTTTTGCTTGAAAATACTAGTTCTTGTTGTTTCTTATCTTAAGGTCCAAGGAAGGGATCGTTTGGCTGTTAAGTGTGTTGCTGAGCAGCTGGGCTTGGAAGGTTCTTATATCCCCCACACATATATTGAACAGATACAGTTAGAAAAGCTTGTGAATGAAGTCATGGTATATTGATAACCAACTCAAACTTTTTGATGCACTACCCCTACCTACCCTTTTGTTCCCTGAACCCCTGGAAACATTCTAGGCATTGCCAGATGATTTGAAGACAAAGCTTAGTTCATATGAAGATCTCGTCTCAAGCCCAAAAGAAGCACCTTTGTTTCCATCATCATCATCATCAGATTCAGTGTCATCAATTAAGCACAAAAACATCAGAAAGTACTACAGTTTTGCTTCAACTTTCTTATTTACTATCTACTTTATATGAGTATGATATAGTAATTTGTTTAATCCAAATATTGTCATTTTTGGGTTTTTTTCACTTTCTTCTTTTCCCAAGAGGGTAGGAAATAAATAGGCGAACTCGATTTTGCATCAAGTCGGCAGATTCAAAAAATATACTACGTATTTCTTATTTCGTTGGTGATTTTAAGCCATTATTAATGGCGAAGTGTTTTTTCCTCCCTCTGAGACTCTTAAAGAAAGAATCTCGTTTCAGAGTAATTTTGCAAACCTAACAAAAGGGGTTCAATTTCAATAAAAAGAAGCATCTTTTTATTGATTTTATTGTATGCGTTTTTCAAAAGAATGATCCAAATTAGTTAAATATGTTAAACTTAGCGTATGAATACAAATAAATTTAAAGATATAAGTAGGAGAACTTAATACTGGTGGGCATTGAACAGGACTAGTCGGGGTTTATAGTATTTACAATTAGCATTATAGTAGTATAGTAGCATCTCCTGACGTTCTTTTTGTGTTTTCTACTTATGATGCTTTTACTTGGTTTCAGTCCTAGATAGAACAGACCAGACTTGAACAAACTAAACCAAACCAGACTTAAACAGGCCAGACCATACTTCAAAAGTTGTAAAATACACATAAACCATACATCACCAGACCGGTTCTGACCAGAATAGATTTCAACAGACCAAACCAGATCAGAAAATTCAGTCCAATCTAAAACATCCTTACTATGTGGATTAAAATTGGATAATCCTCCCACTTTTTATTAAACAGTTATGGTCCTATTCCTATATGGTTATTTTTTCCAAAAGTAGCCCACCAATGATTTATTTGAGCATTTTTATGTTGAACTGAATTGTGATTGAGGTACTTTTTTACAGCGGGGCATTGCATTCATATTTAACAAAGCAGGACAATATATTATCAAAAAACTGTCTCTCTGCTTCCAACAACAACACTTCAGTGTTACCAATATTGTTGGCAAACCAGGTAATGCTTCTATGCTCACAACCGTTTTCATTACCTTAAATTTTTCTTCAGTACATCGCTTTGGAATTTACTGTTCTTTGAAGATTGCATAAGTTGATTTGGTTTTCCACCTGTTTCCCCCCTTAATATTAATATAATGAAGGGAGGTCTTATAGCTCAGCTATCAGAACACATATCTACATTGAATGATGTGATTGGTGAGTTGACATCTTGTATGGAAGACCTGAAGTCCAATATAATAAGCAGCAGCAAAACGAGTCCACAAAATCCATTTCAGTCTGGAGCCTCCTGCAATGGATCAGTACCAACATCTCACTTCATATCTGGTTTAGAAAACAGATCTTTGTCTCGATCTGTTATGCCCCATTTGGCAATGGATTCTGCTTCCACGGAAGAGGTATATATCTTGTATGTGTATGTATTATGCATTTATGCATATATGTATTTTGATAAAACATAAGTAGCTTGAACTTAAAGTTTGCTTCTACTAGGCACTCACCCCCTAAAGTAAATGCCATACATACAATTTTTAAAATATTGTTGGATTTTAACAAGTCTGTCCTTACAATTAGAATGGTTGTATTTCCTAGAAATAATTATGTCAATGACAACCTCGCATTTAGAATAATAATAATTATTAGAAAATAATTAATTGGTTGTCTTTTTTCCTAGAAATATTTATGGTAACGATAACTTTGCATTTAGCTGTTTGACACAATTTTGTTTCTTGAAAAACAGCTATCAGATATGGGAAGGTGTCAACGTCAAACAATGCATCTCCTGGACAATCTTTGCGATCTACTACGCAAGAGGCTACCTGAGAAATTGTATTCAGCAAAGACAAACAAGCAAAGGGCTGTGCTTGGTTTTGACCCCTCTTCCAAAGTATGTATAATATGTACGCTGGCACTTGGCGGCTTGGGAGTTTTTATGTTTAAGAGCATTCTGCCCCGGAATTGACTAGATACATTTATATACTCCAATACATTCTCTTGGTCTTTATTTTGTTTTCATTGAACCCCTTAAGCAATTGCTGCAATGCCCTTGTTATTTTTGGCGGGAAAGAATTGTTCATGGATTAGATACTTTAGATCGAGCTATTTGAGACCACATGGGCATATCATGTTCAAGAAAGGGTGGATTTGCAAATTTTGTAGCTTTTGGGGTTCTTATTATGGAACACAATTACTAGTTAAAAGTTTGAATCTATATTCCTTTGAAATGTATACACAAATCTCTTGCTCACAGAAAAATGGATGTGTGTGAGAACAAACAAAACTTCTTTGTTGCTAATGATGATACAAAGTTATTGCAACAATGTCTTGGATACTAATGAGGATGAATTGCCTTTCAATGAGTGTTGGAAGAATCATCACTGTGCCTTTGAATCTTTGATGATTGGAATGGAGGCTTTGGATGATGATAGGTGTTAAACGCAACTCTTAGTGAAGGAGAGGAAGAGGTGAATGTAGATGTAAAAAATATCTCTGCTATGGAGTACAAATAGATGACTCAAAGTCTTGCAATATGAGTGAATTACTTAAAGAGGACTAAAAGATGGCAGAAATCACAAATTAGAGTAGTAGTTTTAAAATTACCAAAGTAGGATTTTTTTTTAAATTGGACAAAAATACCCCTGCCACTCCCTGCCCCTGCCACCGTTGGACTCTGGCTGAGGTAGCTCTGCCGGTTGCCACCCAGATTCTGGCCGCCGTTCATCGGCTGCATCTGCTGTTGGCCACCACCGGAGCTTCCGTTGAAAAAGAAAAGAAATCCAGATTTATTTTGCCATAGTCCGTCTGCCGCCGCCACCGGATTGCCCTGCCACCAACTGACTGCCCCGGTTGTCCAAGGGAATTAGAGTGCAATTAATTAATTAGATTAAGGGTATTAAGAGTAGAAAATTAATATTCAGTCCTATTTGTGAAAGATTTAGATTTTATTCATATTTGTGCAATTATGTTTCCATTTAGTCCTATTTAAGGTAGTTACTACTAGTTACTTCACCCGTGCGTTGCATGGGAGTGAAGTACATACTTAATAGTTTAGATGCAATTCTATTAAAATTGAAAAATGATCCAATTAATTGAAATCGTTAAAAAAGATGACATAAAATGTCATTGTAATAGCAAACTAAGAAGTATATGGTACCAATCAAAAGTAAAATACTCCCCCCATCCCATTTTACCTGTTCTACTTTCCTTTTAGGGTTGTCCCAAAATAAGTGTCTCCTTTCCTTTCTTGGAAAGAAATATGTGGTCTACACCATTTCACTTTATTATACTCAAACCTCAACCACAACTTTTACTTTTTCAACCACTTTATTAATAACCGTGCCGAATCAAACTAAGACACATAAAATAGGACGAAGGTAGTATCATTCAGTGAAATAGATGTGCTTGTAAGTCCATGAAGTTGTCAAGAAAACCTACAAATGGTTACTTATATCTATGTATGTATACAACATTCAAGCAATTACAGGGGCGTACCTAGGCAGGGCCAACCTAGACCCTGACCTACCCCGATTTAAAAAATGCTTACTAGTATATTTTTAGTGTACAAAATTCCGTATAATTTTTGTGCCAAAAATATTTTTTGTACTGGCTCAGTCCAACCCAGTGCTCCGACTCCGCCCCTGAGTAATTACATATGCAATGACCATTAGTAAGAGTCGAGTCACACATTACAAACTTCAACCTATATTGACATGTAACTCTCAAAACCTTCAAGTACACATGTCCATGTAACCTAACTATTAATAAAAACTATCTACGCTGAAAATTGAAACACAGAAAAACCGGTCTGGTTTGACAAATGTCTGGTGCATATGCATTTTACAATTATTGAAATCTATTCTGGTCTGTTAAAATCTTATATAATCTGGTCCAGTCCATTTAAATCTGGTCCGATCTAATTTGGTCCGATCTTAGACTGTAATAAGTCTATGTAAAAACATCCTAACTCAAGAGTGAGCACAAAAAAGCCATTAAAAACAATTAACTTATACAGAGTAGCATTATTGCAACACTACACAAAAACATTCATTTTAAAATTTTGAATTCATATCTAAGAAGATATATGACACTGTTATAAATTGTTAAAATACAAATTTCACCCTATTATCACTTTCATGTGTAAATCCAAGGTACTAAAATAATGATCTAGAACATAAATTAAGAACATTAGTCTGATTACATAGAACTGATAGAAGGTTTAAAACTTTACATATGAATCGTACACCATCTCTATAAAGCATAAGAACACTAAGAAACCTTTAATTTATATACGGTTTAAGAACCTTGGAATTATTTCAATTAAAAGATATGGACTCCTAGAACTATTAACATCTCCGGAACGCAAAGCATTTGCATAATCACCACTTGCCTCTAATGATTGCTAAGTATTTTTGAGTAGTGGGTGTATGGCCCTCAAGAGAGCCAATGAACTTTCAACTTGTGATTCAACTATTTAAAACAAGAAAAACAAATTAGTGGCTTTACATTATTCAACCATTTAAAATTTAAAAATAAGCTTAAAAGCAACATTGATGCTATTTGATAGCACAAAGTGCATACCCAGAACCGTTTGTAGTCGTCAACATTGAGACTAAGGTTAGCTTCAGACTGAAAAAAAAGCATATTTTCACTTCAACTTGGAAAGCCTTTAAGGTGTGATTTTCACAAATTTGAGAAGAAAAATTACAATATATCATAAGAAACCGTTTTTTCACTTTTTGGGCAACTATTCTAACCAATTATAGTTTATGTTCAATAATAGTCTCAACATCCTTGAGAGGAGAACACTGATCTCGATCAGCAGACAAGGAGTTAATAATAAGTAGCAACGAACCTCCCAAAAAGTATAAAAGAACTATTAAAAATACATATAGCAGTATTAGTAAATAAAAATTGAAGCTAACAACATAACCAAAACAAATAGGGGCTAGTGAGCTACTGCTCTCAAAAGGCTTAAAGGAACACGACAAAATTGGTTTGAAAATTCAGTTCCAAGAAGGGCTACTGTTTTCTAACGGGAATGAGATCCAGCAAGGGTTATTAAAATCAATTATGCTTGGGGTACACAAAGTGTACACAGTATATATATACCTTTTTATTCTTTTGACCATTCACTTTTTCTTTTTACCCATTCTTCTTTCTTCTATCACTCGATTCACTCCCACCCTTCGCTCTCTCGTTATCTTCTCTGTGACCATGGTTCCCTTCTTTCTCATTTCTTTCTCTTTTTCTTTCTTCATTTTCAAGTTCTCTAAATTATTAACCATTTTCAATCCTTCTCCCCATTTACTTGTCATACACGATTCATTTGTCTTCATAGTTAGATGATTCTTCTCAAACCATGAGGTAATATCTTTTTCCAATTTTTTTGTTTGCTTTGCGTTTTTTATGTATTTGTTCCAATTTTATGTATATCGTGTATGTTATAACCTTGAATAATTGATTAATAAATTTTATTGTAAGAGATATGGAGTGTTAAATATTGTAATTTTAGGATAGTTTCTCTAGTTCATTTATACCCATAACATGTTTGTTAAAATGACTCAATGAACTTTTTGTAAAAATTCATGTTTTGTTCTCATTTTTACTAATGTATATTAGCGTTTAATGAGTTTTAGACTCCATTTTTACGATTTTTCTGTTTTACTATGATACATTACATAGTAATTTTTGATTGACTATTCTTTGATAATTATGAGTTTAGTGGATGTTTTTTCTTTTAGGTCTATATTTGTTTCTATTTTTTCAGATTTTATGTATGTTACTATGGTGTTCAATGTTTGACTATTTGGCTTCATTGTTATGGATTGATGATGTTTATTACTCAAATTTCAATCAATTAGTTAATTTGATGATTTAATTTGATTTTCTTTGAATTTACTTCACCACGGGACTTTGCGGGGGCAAAATAGAAGGCAAGTTGATGATTGAGATGGCTCATTGGTCTAACATATGGTGGTTTCAAAATAGGGGAGAGCCTCAAGTCTTCAGGAATGAGCATCAGGCACTCACTAATATGGGAGTCTCTTCATAGTTAAACCTGCTTTGAGTCCCCTCATAGTTAAACCTGCTTTGAGTCCCCTCTTTCTTCATATATTTGGACAAAGCATGATATAAAACAAATCATGACAACATTAAAGAATGTGAAAGTGAAGAATGAGAGCATGAAACCATAGGACCACAAAAGATTTATGTTTATAATTATGTTGTAAGTTAGTGGAAAAGCAAAATTAGTAGTCTTACTCTCATTATGATACATTGCTATAGTTAATTTGTATTCATTATAATTACTAGTTTAATAGAAAATGGATGTAAATCATGAATGTGTAAATTACTTTGCAAAATAGTTAAAAGACGACAATACATGGTCTCAGTTGGGAGTTTCACTTCGAATTTTCTCATACACAAGTTATGTTAATATGCCCAAATAAAAATGATTTGTGTTAACAAGAAACTTGCAATGGTTACCTATGGACAATAGTTGTGTTACCTAAATAACTTTTTTCATACTAAATTCTCTATTTTGTCTATGGACAATAGGCTTTTATGAAATTAATTAACTTGCAGATTAACTTATTTCAGTGGCTATTGTTTGTAACCAGACATTTTATGCCGCGTTTACAGACAATTTCAAAAGTACATTTGTCCATTCCAGTGGCTATTGCCTGTGACCGGACATTTCACGCCTGGTTCACAGACAATTTTACTTAGCACATTGGTCTTTTTCAGTGGGTATTATCTATGACCAAACACTTCATATCATGTTCACACACACTTTCACTTAGGACATTAGTCTGTTAGTGGCCATTGTCTGTAACCAGACGATTCATGGCTGACTCACAGACAATTCCACTAAACACATTAGTCCATTAGCCTATTTCATTGTGTTTGATTATATGTTGTTTGACTATTCATTGTATTACGAGTTACATCGCTGTCTAAATACAATGAAGCCAAATAGTCAAACATTGAACACCATAGTAACAAACATAAAATCTAAAAAAATAGACATAAATATAGCCCAAAATAAAAAAACATCTACCAAACTCATAACCATCAAAGAATATTCAATCAAAAATTACTACGTAGTATATCATAGTAAAACAACAAACTGAAAAAAGAGAGTGTATGACTCATTAAACACTAATGTGCATTAGCAACATATATCAGATGCTTTATTCTATTTGCCATTGAAATAGGCTAATGGACTAATCTATTTAGTCAAAT